AACCAGTATTTCACAAGTATATTAAGCAGTGATGAAGCAACAGCCAATGCTTTGCAGAGAGACTCAAGGGTAAAATTTGCTCAGGTGCTGTGATGGTTAATACTGAGTGTCAACTTGATGGGATTGAAGGACGCAAAGTTTTGTTCCTGGGTGTGTCTGTGAGGGTGTTGCCAAAGGATATTAACATTTGAGTTGTGCTGGGAGGGGAGACCCACCCTCAATCTGGGTGAGCACCATCTAATCAGCTGCCAACATGGCTGGGCTAAAGGCGGGCAGAGGAACGTAGAAGGACTACACTGGTTTAGTCTTCTGGCCTGTATCTCTCTCCCATGCTGGTGGCTTCCTGCCCTCGAACATCAGACTCCACTTTCTTCAGCTTTGGGACTCTTGGTCCTTCGACCACAGACTAAAGGCTGTACTGTCAGCTTCCTTACTTTTGAGGTTTGGGGACTTGGACTGGCTTCCTTGCTCCTCGGCTTGCAGATGGCTTATTGTGAGACTTTACCTTGTGATCGTGTGAATCAATACTCCTTAATAAACTCCGCTTCATATATACATCTGTCCTATTAATTCTGTCCCTGTGGAGAACCCTGACCAGTACAGGTGCTCTGAGGGGTTTTCTTCAGCATATCTTTGGGGAAGATTCAGAGCAGCTGCCAGCCAGTATCCAAAGTCTCATAGACAGTGTGATTTTCATGAGGACCCTGAGAAATAAAGTTCCTCTCAAATTTCTGCAGAAATTCCAAGTCAAGAAGATCATCTGAGCTGAGGGCTTCTTCTCCAGCTACAGCTTTCATGGCTTGTACATCCTTCCCAATAGCTTGCACACGCTGGTCACATACATCAGCACGATCCCTCCTGGTCATCCCTTCTCCAATAGCGGACTTCATGAACAGTGATAGTTCAGGCAGCACATTGATAGGTGGGTGAATCTCTCTGTTGTGCAGCTGTCTGTCCACACAGACCTGTCCCACTCAGGGCAGAGAAGGGTGAATGATATCATTGGTAGGCATGGTAAGAGTAGGAAGTTGAGTCATTGAACCATTTCTACCTTTCCCTCGACCAGCATGTTCATATATAGTGGCTAAATCTGTATAAGTGTAACCGGGGAAGCCTCATCCACCAGAAACGTCTTCTCTGGCTGTGGAAACCTCTTGAAGTGCTTCAGTAGAAGAGCTCATATCTGTTAGGGTAACCAGTAAATGCTTCTCACATTGGTATGCCAGAAATTCAGCTGTGGTCAGAGCCGGGTGAGGGATGATAATCCACCCAATAGTTGAGTCATTAGCCAAGTTCAAAAACAGGCAGACGTTGTCCATTGAGCCATTTTCTTCAATGCCAGATTGGAAGAAACAGGCTGTTTCCATGTTTACATCCCTAGAAGCAAATACAATTGCAAATTTTTCCTTACTGTAGTCTACATCTTTGGATTTATTTAGCAAACCAGTCTGGCGACAGATTTGAGCTGTAATCTTTGTGTGGTAACCCAGCAGCAGAGAGGAAAAAAATGTTCTGCCCCTGGCAATACTGCTCACACCAACTGTGGGCGAAATGCTGGTCTGAATCATCTCCTCTGGGTAGATTTGACATTGAGGATTGATTGGCCATCCCATGATATCAAAGAAATCTTCAACCAGTACAAGAGGACCTCTGTCAATGGGTTTTTCCGGGCCATTAAATACCCAACCAAGCATATCATCAGACACTGGTGCCTGGAGAATATCCCTAGTCCCTTGAAATACCTGAACCACTGCCTTGGAACCACCCACTTCTAGAACTTGCCCATGTCTCTTTGTGCCATCTAGTAAGGTCCAGTGGACAAACTCAGCATATATGGGAAACTTAACATGATCTAAGATCACTAGTGGACCATGGACTCCTGATACTGTGACGTATGTAAGACGAGGCTGGGAGAGGTAGTTCTGACTAACTGCCAGCATCTGTTCCTGAGCTCCCACCACCAGTGGGCATGGGTAGTTTGGGTGTGGCCCATTCATAACCCCACGCATCGCCTGCAGCGCCATCATCCTCTGTCTTGACGGAGCATTTTCCCTGGGTGTCTCCACATTGTCTCCCGTCTGTATTTGTTTCTGTGTCCAAATTCCCCTTTTTAAATGACATCGGTCATATATTAATATTAGGGCCCAGCCTGATGACCTGATTTTAACTTGATTGTCTTAGTAAAGACCCTGTTTCCAATGAAGGTTGCATTCCAACATCCTAGAGGTCAGGACTTTAATACTTCTTTGTGTGCGGGTCAGGGATTCAACTCATAACAATTCAACTCACAACAAGGTCTATTGCCTGCAATCAGCTCTTGGGTGCTGATATCTGTATGCTTTGTAATGGAAGCAAACCTAAGCAAAGAAAGAGGATGTATTGGAAGTATATTGGGTGGCTCCTGGAATCAAAATAGAACTTTAACAGTCAGACCTGATGTCCAGGAGAGGCAAAGATTCCTGGACATCTCATTAAGGCCTGCCTTCCAGATGATTCTGCTTCAGTGTCTTTCTGGCCAAGTGTCCTTTTTCTCAAGATACAAATTCTTGGAAGAGTCAGTTGGGTTAACCTGTGGTGGAACCAGGGCCTGTTTGGGGCACGTGAGTGAAATCAAGTGACTGGTGTAAGGCCAGCTGCCTCACAGAGGGTTAAACGGACACATCCATCTCTCTCCAAGTCTGATAACTACCTCATCACCCGAGCTCATTATCTGGCCTTGCCACACGGCTTCCCCACACCTGCCTCCGCATGCCAAACCCAAGCCCACATTCAGCACTAAATTATGCATTCAACCCCCAGCCCGCTGTTAATAAACCCTGCAGGAAAATTTTTTTAAAGAAGCCCCATCAGACACCCTGCCTGGTAGCAGTTTGCTCTGTATGCACCCCCCACCCCCCACAAGGCCCGCTTACCCGTAACCACTAGCTCCAGGTATTTCCTCCTTAATAGCCAATAAGATTGCCTTCACTTTGTTTCCCCAACAGTCAATCAAGCCCATCTACCCAAGGTCCTGCCTGCTTACCCATGGCAACTAGTTCCAGGTACTTCCTGCTTCCTGACAGCCAATAAAATTGCCTTTGCTTTGTTTCCCAATAGCCAATCAATCGCCTTCCCTCCCCATAAAACCCCATGACCTAAACAGCCAGGCGCGACTTCTTTGGCCCCTTCCTGGGCCACAAATCCTCCCCTGGGAGCTGAATAAATTAACTTCTCAGTTTCTCATACTTGCCTCAGTTTCCTCATTTTGCATCAGCAATAAATCTTACAACTGGCAGTCTTGCTAAGGCCTCCTGGGGAAGTAGAGGGGCAGTTCTCCAAAAGAAAGTGAGGGGCAGCTACTAAAAATGGGGGAGGCATGTGTTATGCAGGTGAAGCCACAGGTCTTTGCTACACATTGTACTTTAAGAAAGACTTCCAGCCCAGGCGGCTGTGTTTCTAAATACCATGGCACTTAAAGGAGCCATTTGGTCATCTGGAAAACGCAGAGTTGGGGGAAAATGCAGTGTCATGTGGTAAAAAGAACGCTCTTGGTGAAATGAGGGCAGGTTTTGTTTAGCTTTTACAAATATTTGCAGATGCTAAAATTCTATCCTGAAAACGGAAGGGAATCAACTGAAAAGCTCTTGGAAACAACAAGAAAGTTCAACCAAGTATCAAGTTACTCACTGGAAATAAAAATAATGCCACACAGATCAATTAGAAGGAAAGCACAAAAGAACCAAAGATGTTTTTCAACTTAGCTACAAAGGCAGCTTGTAAAAGAATAAACTCGGAAAGAAGTGCCAAGGGCTTCTATTAAAAGAAAACAGCAGATTCTCCTTGGAGGCGTAAAAGACAAAGGGTAGAAAGACTTGGGATAATAAAGATGTTATTTCTCCCTAGATAAATGGATTAATTCACTGAGAGATTTCAGCTGAACAAACAAAATCAATCCTGAGCCAATCAAAATCCTAATTAGGTCTTTTAACTTGAAAATATGAGTCTAAAACTCATAGGAAGAGTCCCCGTCTGTGGATGTCAGATCCTCATAGCCAAAAAGCTTCCTCCCCCGGTTTTGATTTTTGTTCTGTCATTTAATCATCTGTGAGACCTGTGGGGAAAGTAGTGTAACCTCTTTGGGCCTTAGTTTCCTCACCTGTGAAGAGGGATAATCCTATCTTTCTGTTTCACAGAGCTGTAGCAATGATCACATTACAGAAAGTATTTGGAAGTGTCTTGTAAACTTAAAGCAAGTTTCATGCTATAGTTGCTGTTTTTATTTTCCCACGATGCCAGATAAATAGGAAAAATCACAATGCAAAAGGTGTCCATTGCTGTGCAAAAAGACAAACACCTCTTGTTAGACTCAGATACATGATGATTCATAAATATTTGATTCCTGTGAAGGAGAGAAAAAACCTAATATGAGCTGTTTGCTGCACCGTCAGTGAGGGTTCACTTTCTGGTCATGAAACTGAGCAAAATGCTTATGCCTCCCCCCAACCCTGTCTCCATCCCCAGACTCCCACGTTGTCATCTGTAGAATGCAAGGTTTTGGACTTCAGGGTGTTGACAGCATGAGCTTCGGAGTCTCTACAGATCTTGGTTCGAAACGTAGTGCCAGCTATTACCCTGGACAACTTATTCTTTCTTTTCTTGGGTTTCAAAATCCATCAGACAGGCATGATAATAATTTCTATTATTATATCTATTAGTATCTCTCAAAGAGGTGATAATATCTACCTCATCAATCCTCAAGAAGACTTGAGGGTTAAATGGGATAATAAATACCAAGTGCCTGGAACCTAGTAAAAGCTCAATAAATGTGCATTATAAATAATTAACTATCATAATTACCATCATTATTATTACTCTAAGGGCCTTTACAGCTTTAAAATTCTAGGGTAATATGTCAGAGAAAAGCGAAAACAGGGAAGAAACAGTGAAGATTTCCTTTATAGGGCCTGAGTCAGTACTTGCGAGGGAGAGATGTTTCTGGAAGATGGCTTGTGTATTCATCATAAGGCCTCATTTAACCTTGGTGACTCACAACCAGAGCTTGACTGGGCATGCCATCCTCTGGAAAAAGGAGGATAGAGGAGGAAGGAACCAGAGGGGGATAGACAGGGGAAAGCCGCAGCCTGGGGACCGCAGTGGATGGTTCCTTGGGGAGTCTAGTCCAAGGTTTTTAACTTTTATAAAATATCTGTTAAACTGAGGAATTTCTTTTTCTGCAAATAAGTTTTGAGGTAGGCACTGTTGGTTGCCAAACCAAAGCAATGCCCTTCTCATTCCTTGACGATGCAACCCTGATAATTGTTCAGGATCAGGCAACTGAACGGCTCAGGAGAAAATGGTGCAGCCTTAGGACAAGGGCAGGAGGAAGCCTTAGGACAAGGGCAGGAGGAAGCCTGATTACTCTGGCCAGTGATTGGTTTAGAAATGGGCATGTGATACAATTCTGGCCAATGAGATATCAGGATATGTAAGGCACGTCATCTTTTCCTCATCCTTAAGGAAAGGGGGACGTACCTTACATCTCTGGCAGGATCATAAAACAGCACAACCCTTATGGAGGGTACATTAGTTTCCTATCACTGCTGTAACAAATTACCATAGGCTTGGTGACTTAACACACACAACTTATTCTCTTAAAGTTCTGGAGTTCAGAAGTCTCCCTCGGCTAGAATGAAGGTGTTGGCAGGGCTGTGCTCCCTCTGAAGGCTCCGGGGGGAATCCACTTTCCTGCCTTTTCTGGCTTCTGGAGTTTCCTTCTTTGCATTCCTTGGCACATGGCTCCTTCCTCCCTCTTCAAGGCCAGCAACTGAGCATCTTCAAATCTCTGTTCTGTCTGCATCCTGCCTTCTCCTCCATGGTAAAATCTCCTTCTGCCTCCCCTTTATAAGGAAACTTGCAATTACATTTAGAGATAACTTAGGTAATTCAGGACACTTTCCTCATTTTAATATTCTTTTTTTTTTTTTTTTTTACGGGGTTTCGCTCTTGTTACCCATGCTGGAATGCAATGGCGAATTCTCGGCTCACTGCAACCTCCGCCTCC